TTTTTCAAAGAAATTTCATAAAATCTTCTAAAAATACCTAAAAATCAGTGGATGTGTGAAACGTTCTGAAATTGGGGAGGGAGGTAACAGTGGTAAACATTTTCTACCATTGTAGCAAGTAGCTCTAAAAATGAGGGAGAAAGGAGCCCCAGGCACTCCCCCACTTGCACAATTACATAACAAAAAGTTATGAAAATTCAGTTATATTGTTATGATACAGACCCCTTACAATATTTTAGAAGCACTTTAGAAATTATTCACTCCCCCCCCCCTTTTTTTGTAATGAGTATTGAAACATTTTTTGGTTGATCTCACAGGCCTAGTACCAACCACAACTGAGGGAAGCAGGATTACTTTAAAGGATACAGAACAAGCCAAACGGCACATTCATGTTGGTCCTCCAAGAGATTAGACTGGCCAGGAGTTCCAGAGGAATGGCTGGGGAAAGGCTGCAATCTGTCTTGAACAAACTACTATTCACTGCCTACTGGGAAGGCCAGCTGTGATACATACCTAGCAAAGAAAGAAAGAACACCTGGCACGGTTATAATCTTCAAGGGATGGATTTGGGGATGTGATAAAGCCCAAAAATAAACTGCACAGTGTGGGTACCTTGTCATCCCAGGTGGGCTTTTGATTAGATTTTAAGTTCATTGTGGAGGGGAAATCCATTTAGTTAAATATCATGCATGCTTATGGTGCTGCATAAATATGATAACTACGATGCGACAGCCTTCTTTAAATATCTGAAAATCTGTTGCCAACGAGATGAAGCAAGCTTTTTGTTGTTATTGCCTCAGAGAATAAGACTTGAATCAGTGGATTCAAATTACATCAGGAAGAACATCCTAACTGCAAGAGCTGTTCAGCAGTATGTTAAACTCCTCTGAAGGTGTTGGTCTCTGTTTTGTTGGAAATTTCATAGAGTTCAGATGTTGACCTCTTAGGATTTTTTTAGCAATGGATACTAACTGGGAATGAGTTGAATCAGATAGCTTTGGGAGTACTATATAATTCTGTGAATTAACAGCACATGCAAAGATATATGTTACATGTTCTATTCTACTATGTCATTTCCTTATTGGTTCTATCATTTAAAAATAAAGAAAAAAAGTTTATTAAACTGCAAAAACTTGTTTTTCGTGGAACATCCTGCAGAACATTTTGCTATAGATTTTCAATGAATATCTCAAGTCTCAACCAATTCGATATAGTTTGTAGCAACCACAAAAATGAAGTTTCTGGAATATAACAACCTCTTTCAAAGTGAGTACTGTACAATTAAACAGAAAATAACATTTTCAAACCTGGAACAGAAAAAAATTCAAATTTTGTTACATAGTGTTTTTGTGTGTGTTTTGTCAGACACATGTAGTCCTGACAATGAATATAGACCCAAGGAGCTGATATTCAAATGTTTCCTAACCAGAACTAGGACACGATTTTTATGGGAAGCAAGTTGCTGTCACACTGCACTCCTTGAAATCATTTACACATCTATTTTCGTTCTAAAATGGGAATTGAACGCTGCAGGGTAAAAAAATCTGCCTGGCTGTTGGTGCTCTCACAGCTGTTTGTTTGTTTATGCTGTGTTTGCTTTGTATGTCTGCGATTTTTTATTTCTTTATTTGTCTAGCTGGTTTGGCAACTGGCACTATGATCCTGGCAAATTAGTCCCATTGCTGTCACTCAGTATTTCACTTCTTCAGCAAGCAAAGCCTTAGAACAATAGAAATAAGTCCCATGACTTTAAAAAGTCAGTTTTCTGTTTTAAAAATACTATTGCCCTGGCATTTGTAATGAAGGTTACAGAACTGATACCCTCTTGCCAAGCAAGTGGAGGATAGCTTTCTGACAGGTAGTTATCAGGAACAGGCAAGTAAGTCTGCAGAGCCTTTGGAAAGGTATTTTGGACTATCAACTACTGCCCTCTGCCAAAAATAAGTCCAAAAATAACTTTTTGAAGCTTGGTACATGAGAAGACATAACCCTGATGTGTAAATGTTGGACAAATACAGGTAGTGCTTAAAAGATATATGATAGGAACAAAATTAAATTGTGGTATACTGAAATGGAGTCATGAGCATATCAGCTAGATGAGGTTTTCTGCCTGTTCTATCTCAGATGTCGGAGTATGGTCTTTAAATCCCATATGGCATATCCACGGTGGTTGAAATGTTCTGCAACTGATTTTTTAGATATTGGCACTTTTAATATCCAATTTTTGTCCATTTATCCTTATGTCCTGTTTGTTCAGTGTAGAAAAAAGAGGAGCATTGCTCACATAGGATGAACAAGTAAATGCACCCCTTATGTTGTGAATGATGTTTATGACCCCTGTAATATTCCTCCTCCAGAATAGATGTGAGAACATAGTTGGCATCCGAATTTGTGACAGGGCCTATCTATTCTTACCCATGTTATTTGTCCTATTATAAGTGAGTCGTTGTTTAAGATTTAGATATCTGTGGCTAATAAATCGCTGCTTTCTACAGATTGTGAGAAGTCTGTGTTTGTTCTACAGAATTGGTTGTAGCTTGTTGATTATTTGTTTGAGTGGTCTCAGTTGAGGACTGTGGTGACAATTAATAATAAATAATAATAAACCCAAATAATACTGTTTTTTACTGTTTTAATGAATGTTTTACTTATTGTTTTAATTGTTATTATATTGCTGTGTTATATGTAGTGGCATCAAATTGTTGCCAAATGTAAGCCGTCATGAGCCCCCCCCCCCCCCCTTTTGGGGGTTGAGAAGGAACGGGATAGAAATACCGGAAATAGATAAATAAAATAAAATAGGGTGGTTTGTCTTTTCATTTTGTTTTTGTTTTTCCCGTAGAAGATTGTTCTTGGGAACTAATTTTGCCTTCTTGATTTGCTTCTTCCCCTCTTTAGGTGGATATTGTAGTCTGAGAATGTTTGTTTAACTATAAGAGTTTTGCTTCTCTGTCTTGTGGGTAAAAACAGAAGAAATTGTATCAGAGGGCTTGGCTGTAAATTATGGATTTAGTATTGTGTTCTGGGAGGAAACTGACGACATGTAATTCTATTCTAGTTTGAGTGTGGTGCTTAGAAGCCTGCTGTGTAGTTGCACAGTAGTGTAAAACAAATGAATTTTGTTGTGTGGATTGTTTCAGGCTCAAGCTGATGGTAAAATGGACATAGTTAAAATTCTAGTGAAACTTTAAAAGTGATTGCTTTCAATGTAGCCAAGTAATAAATATTCCATCAAGGTATCGTAAGTAGAGAAGAGTTTTCTGGGTGCATCTGCTGAGAAAGTCTTATTTCAGACCAGCCATGAAGCTATGTATAGACATACTGTGCTGCCCTATATGATTGTCCATAGCAATTCCACTGACATGGAAGTACATGTTTTTTTTCCTAAGAGATGAAGTAATGAGTGAAACTACTAAAATGCCAGTATTTATTATAAGATGTCACTGAGGATTTATTGAAGACTTTCTGGTATGGGATATGGGGAGGCAATGGTTTGGTAAGAGAGCATATGTTTTGCCCCAGGGGCAAAACCCAGGGGCATCTGGGTTCAAATACTGAAATCTCCAATTAAGGGACTTCAGACAAGAGTCTGGGGAAATATGCTGCTTAGATCTTTGAATAACTGTTGGCAGTCAGAGTATTTGAGCTGATACAATAAAAGATGGTTGTGGTTAATATGAATATGAAGCTTCTCTCACACATTTGGGGTTATATAATTTTGTGGAAGAATTTTGCATGCACAAGATAAATTCCCACTGAGATGTTGGTGGACTGCTGCCAGTTAGCATAGGTGATTCAAGGTTGACAGACCAATGGGTTGATTTAATACAGGATGCACTTTCAGTTGCCCCACTGTTGATAGTGTACACTGCTTCTAAAAAGCGGTGGTCTTTGGATCCTGATTGGGGACATACTCTAAAGCAGTGGTGTCAAACATATGACTCTCCAGGTGTTTTGAACTTCATCTCCCAGAATTACTGGCCATTGGACAAATTAACTAGGGCTTCTGGGGGTTGGAAACCCAATCATCTGGGGAGTCACAAGTTTGACACCTCTGCTGTAAAGTTTTGTTGCATTTTTTCTCTTCCAGAAGACTTGGTACCAAGGAAAACCCCAACTTCCTAGTTTGCTTAACACAGGGGTCCTCAAACTTTTTAAACAGAGGGCCAGGTCACAGTCCCTCAAACTGTTGGAGGGCCGGATTATAATTTGAAAAAACATGAATGAATTCCTATGTACACTGCATATATCTTATTTGTAGTGCAAAAACATTTAAAAACAATACAATAATTAAAATGAAGAACAATTTTAACAAATATAAACTTATTAATATTTCAATGGTAAGTGTGGGCCTGATTTTGGCTGATGAGATAGATTTGTTGCTGCTGTTGTTGTTGTTGTTGTGTGTTTTCAAGTCATTTCATACTTAAGTTGACCCTGAGCGAGGGCTGGGTAAATGACCTTGGAGGGCTGTATCCAGCCCTCGGGCCTTAGTTTGAGAACCCCTGGCTTAGCATATAAAGACAATAATAACAATTATCTATTCTACTTGAAAAACAATATAAGTCAGGGCCTTCCAGTGGTTCGGAACTTGGCAACTTTCACCAAAAGTGGAAGCAACAGAAAGTAGCCTTCCTCTCATATAGGTGGCAGAGGTTGCTGTACCATTAAAAGGTAGCAAATAGTAATTTATTATATGTTTAGTACCATGGACAGTGGCCATTCAAACGTTATTGCTCAAACACTAAGGCATCTTAAATTACTCTGACTAGAAATAATTTCATATCAGAGGATGTAAAAGTCACTTTTTTGGACTACTTCCAGAATCCTTCAACCATCATGGCCAGTAGTCATAGTGTCTGGAAGATTATAGCAGCTGTAGTCCAAAAAGGTGTCATTTCTAAGCTTTCTTGAGTGAAAGAACTCACTCACCTGCCTTGGATATTTTTCAACTATTCACCTCAATTATCTCACATGTTTTTATCCTTATTCATTCCCAGTGCAGGAAATCCTGAAGGAGTGCCAAGAAGGACAGAGTGGGGAGAGAATGAAGAAGCCAGCCGAGCAGGAGAAGCATGAGGTGGCAGCGCAACGCTCGGTTTAACGGGCTCCAGCCGATGGTCCCATGGGTGTCATCAGTATTGATCCTGACTGTGGGAGGTTGGGGCCTGGCTGCTGTTGCTGCTTCTGGGGCTGCATCACACGAACAGCATGCCTCCACAACCTCTTCCAGCCATGTGCCATTGGACTGGCTTCTTAGTGATCGAGGACCATTCCACCGTGCCCAAGAGTATGCCGACTGCATGGAGCGCCATCGACAGGGTTTCACCACCAGGTACAGGATCTACAGGTAAGCCAGGATTGCTTCTGCATCAGAAATTGAATCACTTGGGATATTCCCATAAATTTAACTTTGAGTATTAAAATGGTTTAATAGTCGATCCTTGCCTCTTGGAAATTCTGTACCAGACTGTAAGAGTTTCCAGCTTTCTTTATCAGAAAATAGAACAGTATTATTGGTGCTGCGTAACTGCAGTGTAGCTATGTGTCTTAAATATACTTAAGACTATAAATGGCAGAGGGGCTTTAGGATGAAGCAGTTGGAAATAGTTTCCTCTGAACAAAAGGTTTTGACATCATGAAAATAGAACAGTGGGAGATAGACATAATCCACTGGCAAGTTCTACTACACGGACATGCTAACATGAACTTATGATGTTCCTGTTTAATTAAATGGAATGTGAACAGGATAACCTTCAAGTAAATTGTACTCTATACTTATTTCTGAGAAGGAGAGTGTACCCTTTTGATGATCTGTCAGGATCTGTATGCCTCCAGCTGCTCCTACCAGTGCCCACAATGTTTGGAAGTTTCTGGGAGCAATATTATCAAAAAGCAACTATTCCTGAGCAATGCAACAGACAGACAAACAAAATTCTCTTGTGCTCCTCCCATCTATGGAAGTGTTTTTCTTAAAACTTAGTGCTTCTATTATACAATTGTTCAGTTGTAAATATATATGGGTAGAAGCAGTTAGTAGGAACTAACAGGCCTTGCTTGACGGTTTCGCAAGCTCTCCTGGGAAGCGTATTTTGTGATAGTGCGAGTCCGTAGTAATATAGGTATATCCTTTCTCTTAAGCCAGTAAATGGGTTACATCAAAGCAAATAGAACCACGATAAGAACTCAACTATGAAGAAACAGACTTGGGAGCCAACAAAAAATATACTTTGTAAATATGACATTAAAGTTATTATTATCTTATCTATTGAAAAAAGTGCTGTTTTCTCAGAAAAAACACTTTATCACTTTTAAATCGGGCTGGTGTTTGTTCTGTGAATTTCATGTTTTACTGTGAAGCCATCCTGTTTGAATTCAAGAGCCCCTTGTAAACATACACAGCTACTGGTTCCCTTATCACAATCTCAGAGACTGTTCCATGAATGAGCATTAAAAGGCTGTTGTGTGAAAAAGACCCTGTTGTGTTCAAGAACCTGTCAGCTGCATAGTGCACTGATGCAATAAGAAGAACAGAAAAACCTCTGTCTGACCCTTCCTAAAATTGCACACATTTTAAAAATGATAAGTTTTCTAGCAATGGGGATATAGCCTTCCCCCCCCCCCCCCGTGTGTGTGTGTGTGTGTGTGAGAGAGAGAGAATCCAGGTATAATTTAGGTTAGTGATTTGTAACCTTTGGCCCATCAAGTGTTTTGGATTAGATTGAAGCCCAAAACATTTTGATTTTGGGGATCAAAGTTTGAGACCCAAGTTCAGGCAGGTAGGGAAGAAAGCAGCACTTACTTTGGGATTGATTTCCCCATGGAATGGTGCATGCTCCCCTACAATAAGAGTGGAAATTGAGCAGTTCCCAGATGCTGTTTAACTGCAACTTCCATCAGTCCTAACCAGCATAGCTAATGGTGACTACTGTGCCTTTCACTCCCTCAGCATCCAGAGGGGTTTATGATTCCCACCCTGTAGTTACCTCAGTACACAATCACAGAAGGCAAAAGAGATGGAAGCTGCAATCTTTGAGCACAAAATGAACAAAATACACTGAAGGTAAAGCTTAAGGCTTAATCTATAAAACACCATATTTACAATGATGTTTGCCAGCATCAGATTTGGTGTAAAGAGCTTCTGGTACACTGGCTGGTTGTCCAAAGCTAACATTTGTGGGTTGCCTTGATTAGACACCAAACTGTTTAACTATGAACAGTTGTCATAAATCTTTCAGTGGCTCCTGTCAGACTAAATGAGGAAAGGCTGTGTTATGAGGCAGGACCAGCAGCCTGTGTGTGTGTTTAAAGAAATGTGTCATGGTGTTTGCTTGCTCGTTCTCTGGCATGGTAATTTTGGCAAGCTGCAGCAGAACTGCCCAACCATCAAATTAGATGGGAAAAGTAGGCGTTTCAAACTGTCAGTTCCTTTGATAAGAGCGAGGAATGCAATAGTGGTCATTCCAGGTAATTTCCCTCCATGAAAGGATTTTAACTTTTATTATTACTACAGTGTAAAAATATCTGCATTCTCATAATTAATTGTGATGGCTGGTTTTTTGAACCAATTGCTTCCATCAAATTTCCAAAGTACATCGACAGTAGAAAGTTTGTATTAAGTGTACAGATCCTAAAAAATGCTACAAAACAGACTTTAATAGAGAATTCCTGCAATAGAGATGGAACAGCCATCTCACTCCTGGAGAAAAGTAGCAGGGCTGATTTTTAACACAGAGTAGTAATAGCTTCCCTAGCTGCATTTGACAGTCATCATGTCAAAACAGTGTGTAAGCCTGGTATTGACCTCAAAAATACTGAGGAATCCCTCAAACTGGTAGTTAACAGTAAACAGCTTCAGGTACAAACACAGAAAGACAACAGCCAAAGGTCATTTTCCCCTTTCTCTCCTGAGCTTTATCTCTATTTATCAGATATCACGTTCATTCATTCATGTTCCACTTTTCTCTCAGTATTTGGGATTACAGCAGTTAAAGATATGATAAAGAGGATGAAAAAATGAACAAATTATAATATTAACACATAATTAAACAAATGAACATTTTAAAACAGCATAATTGAATTGAAAGTGATTTTAAATCTGCATCCTGCACTCTGTTAAAGCAGCAAATCAATTGTCAAAAGTCTTTACAAAATAATAGCCTGCTGGCAGAAGGCAAACTCAGGAAAGTTTGGAAGCAGCTTTAAAGGTACAAGCAGAGCATGCCATCTCATTCTGTTGTGGACTGCATGGAAAGGGAGAAAAAATAAGAAAAGCAGGACAAGGGAGAAAGCAGGATGCAGAGCCGACATTATACATGAACACCTTTGTTATCCCATGACCCTGGAAGGCAAGAAACAATAGAAGTGAAAGGAAAGGGGAGGTGGAGAAATGTAGGCCTTCCCCATAGATACTCCTCCGAAGCACACACGCAAAACACCCCTGTAGGCCATGTTCCTGTATGCCCCTCTACTTCTGAGAAAATCTTGGAGAATGGATGAGGTGCTAGAGGACTGGAAGTGAGCAAACATTCCCTTTCTTTAAAAAAGGAAGAATAAGATGGAAATGCACACCAGTCAGACTGACCTCAATATCGGGAAAAATATTGAAACAGATGATATAGTTTATCTTTAAGATATCTTGATGACAACGCAGTGCTCAGTAGGAGCCAGCATGGGTTTGTCAAAAACAAATCCTGACAAACTAATCTTATAATTTTTTTCATCAGGTCCCTAGTTTAGTTGTTGGTGGAAATGCTGTGAATGTTGTTTTTATGGATTTCAATGAAGGGTTTAATAAAATACCCCACAATATTTTGATTAGCAAACTGATTAAATGTGAAACAGTCAGAATCATTGTTGCATGGGTCCATAATCATTTGGGAAACTATTTTCAGAAGGTGTCGAGTGGAGTGCCTCAAGGTTCTCTCCTTGGGTCATTACTCTTCAGTTTTTTTTATCAATGGGATGAGGTTGAGAGAATCCTTGTCAAGTTTGTAAATGGTACAAAACTGGTAGGAGTAGAATACAAGTCAGAAGAAGCTAAACTAGAAAGTTGAGCAGAAATTAATAAAATGAAATTTAACAGGAACAAATCTTAAATTCTATATTTAAGCCACAAAAATCAAATGCATGAGATATAGAATGGGGGATACATGGCTTAGAAGTACTTGATACAAAAAGGACCTTGGAATTATTGTTGATCATAAGCTGAACTGTAATGCTGCCACAAAGAAGGCCATTCATTTAATAGAAAGATTTTGAGAAGGATATAGACATGTTAGAGAATATCAGTGGCAATGACAAGAAATATGGAGAACAAGTAATGGGGAGAAATTGAAGAGCTTTTCTGGATCTCTTCAAAAACACTGGATAGTTTCGTACTTGGAAATCTTTAGCTGCACTGAGCAGGGGATTGGATTTGATGGCCTTTCCAACTCTATGATACTATGTTCTTTACAAACAGGAGGCCCAAAATAGCATCCTCAGTAACTCCAAAGGCCCTTTTACCCTACGGAATTACAGCACTTTGTTGTTGTTGTTCATTCGTTCAGTCATTTCTGACTCTTCGTGACCTCATGGACCAGCTCACGCCAGAGCTCCCTGTCGGCCATCACCACCTCCAGCTCCTTCAGTCAAGCCAGTCACTTCAAGGATGCCATCCATCCATCTTGCCACAGTATTATGATTCCACTTTAATTGCCATGGTTTCATCCTATGGAATCCTGGAATTTGCAGTGTAGTAAGGGAAATTTAGAATTCTTGGGCAAATACTGCTTTGACTGCCTCTAACCCAACTACAAATCCCAGAATGCTATGTCGTGTCAGTTTAAAGTAGAACAACAGCAATTATAATTGTGTAGTGTGCTAAGGTCCCAGATGACATGATTTGGGAAGGCCCACTGGAGAAGATTTTGGAAGACAACTGAAAAAAGAGATGAAAGAAATGAATAGAGAGTAGGACTATCAATGACTACAAGTCATGTTGGTCATAGATTTCCTCATAATGAATACACTGTACCAATATAGCCAAAGCAATTTTCTGAGGAATCAGAGGCTGAATCTACAGTGTCATATAATCCAGTTTCAGAATGCAGATTAACTCCATTGGACTAGGTTATATGAGTCTACACTGTCTTATAATCCAGTTCAATGCAGTTAATTGGCATTCTGAAATTGGATTATATAGCAGTGTGGATCCAGCCTAAGTGGAAGGGTGCTGTTGCTCTCATGTGCTGCTTATGGTCTTCTTGAAAACCTCTAAACCACTTGAAAGGAACAGGATTTTGGCCCTGGGTCTGATTCATTTGGCTTTTGGGATATTCCTATGGAGCATGGATCCAGACAGAGCAG